CAGTGCTCTTAACCACTGAGCCATCTCTCCAGACCACCAAGAGTCTTCTTATGGCTGTAGCTGACAGAGCCTCCAGCTGAGTGCAGATGGCCTCCCTCATGTCTCAGGCAGATACCTACCCCTGTTTCCAATAGAGCCGGGAGAGTGGAGATGGGGGTTCTTGGGGAGGTTTACAGTAGAGAGCGGGGGCTGATGCCTGCAGTAGCCAGCACAGAGACATGTAAGATGATAGCAGGTCTCTTGTGCCAGCAATCCCACAGAGCTGGTATGAGTACAAACCACCTTGAGGAAACAAGTTCTGGGTCTTGAGAGATGGCCCAGTGTTAGAGCACTGACTACTCTTCGAGAAAACCTGGTTCTGTTCCCAGCACCCATATGGTGGCTCACAACCGTCTGTAACATCAGTTCCGGGAGGTCTGAGGCCCTTTTCTGATGCTACCTGCACCAGGCTTGCATGTGATGTACACACATACATGAAGCAAAGGTACTCATACCCATAAAATAAACTAAATCAAAATAAATAAAATAAAAGCATTTGAAAAAGAAAAACCAAGTTCTAAGTTCTTTGCTGAGCGTGGCAGTGCACGCCTGTGACCTCAGCACTTGGGAGGTGGAGTTCAAGGTCATCCTCAGCTAACTGTAGAGTTAGGGGGCTTGCCTGAGCTACATGAGACCCTGTCAGAAGGAAGGGGAGGAGGGAGAGAGGAAGAGAAGGAAGTTAGTTCCTTACAATCCTAGGGTACTGTTTTTACACACAGAGTTTCTAGGAATGGGCCTCATTTTCACTTGCTGCCAGAAGAAACTGCACACTTGAGAATTCTAGAATCATTCAGGCAAAGAGCAAAAGAGGCATCGTATAGACGTGGAGAGATTAACCCTGGGTTTAAGCAAAATTTCTTCTTCGTTCTCAGCAGGGTCAAGATGACCACAGCCACCACTTTGGGGGAAGCCGTCTTCTCGCTGAATATGACCAGAGGAGAAGACTTCTTGTATAAGAGTAAGGTGCAGTTGGGGGGAAGGTTGCCAGGGCAAGCTTCGGGGTCAACTTACCGCTCCCACCGCTCGTCAACCTTGTCCATGTTTTCCTTGCCCTGGGCCTCAGTTTCCTCACCTGTAAGATGGGGGCTAACCCACAGGAGGTTTGCTGTGAAGACTCAGATGAGCCATGGGAAGGGCACGGTTCCTGTAGATGTGCACACTGAGTACCCAGCTAGCCCTGTGACAAGCATTGTTACTTCCGACTGCAGCTCCCACTCCCTCCTCCTCTCCACCAAATCCTGGGGTCTAGGGAGGGATGGAAGCTTGAATCTCTTTCAAGATATTGAAATAGGTCTCCTTGAAAAGTAGCTGCTCACTACATGTGGTGGCACACAAGTTTAATGCCAGCACTGGAGAGGCAGAGGCAGAAGGATCTTTGTGAGTTCAAGGCCAGCCTGGTCTACAGAGTGAGACCCTGCTTTGATGACGGCAGCAACAAAAGCACTAAAGAGGAGGAACACATACTACTTTTTAAAAAAGAAAAATACACTGCTTACTTCCTCTTTTTAAAATGTGCATTGGTGTTTTGCCTGCATCCTTGTCTTTATGAGGGAGAAGGATAGTTCAGCTGCGTGGGGTGGGAGGAGGCCATGAAGGGTTGTGGCTTGGGCTCAGGCCACGTTGGGCGCCAATTTGTAGTGTACCAAAGAGTTCCACAATAGCCCAGAATGGAGCATAACAAAGGTTTATTTATTTGGGGATAAACTCACAGTAAGGGTAGCTATCTGCACACCTCTGCATGCGCTGGGAACTGGAACCGAATCCAGCAAAAAAGAGACCACACATGCTTTGCTCTTTGTCTGCTCTTAGAGTACATGAGACCACACCCAAAGTGGGCTGTTATCTTAAAGGCTATTGGCTCAAGGAGTTCCCACAACAGTTGGGTACCTACCCTGGAACTGGAGTTATAGACAATTGTGAGCTGCTATGTGGGTGCTGGGAATTGAACCTGGGTCCTCTGGAAGAACAGCTAGTGCTCTTAACCACTGAGCCATCTCTCCAGCTCTTCTTGCTTACTTCTTAATGAGCAAATGAATGAAAGTAGGAATGGGTTAGTTCTGGAAAATGTTTACCAAGAACCAGGGGTTCCCAGGATAAGAAAAGCAAATGCCGGGTGGTGGTGGCGCACGCCTTTAATCCCAGCACTCGGGAGGCAGAGGCAGGCGGATCTCTGTGAGTCTGAGGTCTGCCTGGTATACAGAGTGAGTTCCAGGACTGAGTCCATGGCTACTGGGAAACCCTGTCTCGAAAAATGGAAGGAAGGAAGGAAGGAAGGAAGGAAGGAAGGGAGGGAGGGAGGGAGGGAGGGAGGGAGGGAGGGAGGGAGGGAGGGAGGAGGGAGAGAGAGAGAGAGAGAGAGAGAGAGAGAGAGAGAGAGAGAGAGAGAG